GCTGAGACAGGCTCCAGCCGGCCCTGCAACCAAGGGTTAATAATAATAATAATAATAATAATAATTGATCAGATTTATATAGCGCTTTTCTAGACACTCAAAGTCGCTTTACACCATCAATTATTTATTCACACACATTCATTCCAGTGGTGGTAGCTACGATTGTAGCCACAGCTGCCCTGGGGCAGACTGACAGAGGCGTGGCTGCCATTCTGCCCCTCCGACCACCACCTCAAACAATCCAAACAGGTTACAGGGCGGAATCGAACCGCCGACTTTCCGATCATCGACCGACTCGCTCTACCACCTGAGCCACAGCCACTAATTAGATTAGAGAACCAAGATACAACGTCAACATCAAAACTAAACTTCTTTTAAAAAATTCAATTATTCATTTAAAGGCTGAATAAGGAAATTAAATGATCAAGTAAAAGAATTAGAAATGTATGTTTTTTTGTCTTGGTTTTTTTTTTTTTACTTTAAACAAAGTTTACTTTAAGTTAATGCAACATCATAAAGTCTGTAGTTATGCCGGTGATGCTCACCAGACTGGATACTAAACAGGTGTTTGAAGTTCATTGTTAAAGGCGTTATGAGAAACACAGAACATTACAAGCTGAGGTAGACGAACTTTTTAATTTATTTTTTTTGTTTGGGCTTTTTTTATAGTGGAAAGTGAGACAGGAAATATGGGGAGAAGCGTGGGGGAAGGACCTGTACTAAATGGTCATGGGCCGGACTCAAACCCACGACCTCTGCATCATGGGTTCATGGGTCGCCCGCCCAACCTGTTGAGCTATCCGGGCGCCCGAGGTAGACAAACTTGACATGATGTGTGAAAGCTCTCCAGAGTTTAATTAAAGCCCCCTTTTCTGTCTGTGTCTCCAGGGCGGTCTCCGTGGCGATGACGCAGCAACAACTCTGACCGCCTTCGTCCACATCGCGCTCGCTGAGGCCAAGCAGGCGGGGATCCGCTGCAGCAGTCCAGGCGTGAATGTGGAGGTAATAATGGTTTTCTAAAGTTTTGTTTGTTTAGCAGTTGTCTTATCTTTAGTCTTCTGTGCTTTATTGCCTGAAAAGTACATTATTATTATCATTAGTAGTAGTAGTGTTGTGATAAGGGGTATTATTAGTAATTGTATCAACACTGTCATCTGTCCTACCTGTCTGCTGTAGCGAACGATCCGTTTGACGTCAGAATACCTGAAGAGAGCTCTGACCGAACCGGGGAGGAGACCCTACACGGTGGCCATCGCCTCTTATGCACTGGCTTTGCACGGCGCGCCTCCCGTCTTTCATCAGCATTTACTCAGAGCCGCAGCTCCAGGTATTCCTTGTTTCATTTGTAAAAACTGAACTACAACTTTTGAGTTTTTACTTTTTGTTTTCTGGGGGGAGCTGTATTCCTACTGCAAAGTCACGAAAGCAGAATTCATTTCCTCTTCTGAGACTTGGCATTAAAGCAAACTGGTGTATCTTCCTAACATGTCAAAGTATCCCTTTAAGTTGCTTAAAATCCTCATTCAGTGTTTTTTTTTTTATTATTATTATTATTTTGGTGCAATTCCTTTTTTGATTTCAAATGTCAAATTTTTTAATTTTTGAGGTCTGATACACAAGAATTAACAGAGGAGTTAGATAAACTATTTCATAATAAATTTGCCGCAGACCAATCATCTGTGTTGCGCAGGTCAGTGACATTTACTAACACTGTTGAATGAAGCCCCTTTCAGATGTGCACTCCTGTCAGTTCATCTGACTGCATCGGAACGTGTCGGCTTCATGTCTGAACTAGCATCCTGGTCGCTGTTCTGTAAAAGTCACTATTGCTTAGCTGGAAATAGCAACGGCCTTGTAACATTTCCACGTCGCTTTCAACGTGACACAAGTCTGCATTAACAGCGTTAACAAATGGGCATGCACAACAAACATACTTTAAGTTGTCTGAAGCTATTTAAGGAAGACTTTTCCACATTTCAAGGCCAATGTTGTTCTAAAAGTGTCACAGAGGGAACCAAAGACACGGCCAGGATCACAAAACCTCTTTCTTGTTCATTTTGCTCGACAGTGTCACATCTTTCACAAACTGAGCTTATTGAGACTATCGCCAATCATAAATGTAATCTAGATTTTTACAAAATATTAACAGGAGCTGAAGCTTGGTTGCTTCCAGCTGTTTCTAGGAGTCTTTCCTCTGAGTTCATTAAACTTCCTGCAGCCTCAGTCAGCAGAAGGATCCATATGAGTGTCTCCAAATCGAGCAAGCTGCTGCACGTCAACGCGTGTGGGACAACAGCATCACTTGTAATCATAAATGATCCCGACATGGAGACTGGATGGATCAGGATCTAATATAAGTCACAGTGTACTTTTCTTCGCCTCAGACAGGCGAGAGTCACAGTTTACCAGACTGATGAAACCAGCAGAGGTCATTTTGTTTATTTGGGCAATTTGTTTGAGGCCAACACAGTTGCTCCACATCACAAAGTTCATGGATCTTAACTGGTTTGCAGGGTCAGCAAGTGGAAGACTTAAGCATAGTGACGTTTTAAGTTTTCTTCTAAGTGTCGTGATGTTTTCATGTGTGTGGCCTCAGAACAGATAATAATAACACTGGGTTACAAAAAAATATATACTTTTTTGAAGGTGTCTAGGATTTTTTTAACTGATTTAGGACAGTTTTGCAACGCTGAAGCCAAAAATGACATCTGCTTTTCTGTATCAGGTCAGGTTTTTATGCCAACTCGATTTCAAAAAACAGATTTTGCCACTGAATCGATTACATTTGTTGACATTAGCGATTGATTTATTTCAGTATTTCTCATATGAAATCGGATTTTAGAGGAAAAATTTCATTTTCTAATCCTTTTCATGAGCTAAATGATCCACAAGTTGATGAGCGTAAACATTTGTGGAGGTAAATACAAGTAAATTGCATGTTTCATCAAATCAAAATTTTGACCTCATTGAGCAAAACCAACGTAATATTTGGATTCAGCACATTGCAATTGTCCAAAATCAGCTCAAAAAACGTTGACACCAAAATGGGTATAGACCAGTGTAATGTGTTGCTTCTCTTATTACCTTACACAACATATCCCAGTAATTCTTCCTCCCTCCTGTAGGTTTCAGACAGTGGCCTGACAGGCAAAACCACTTGTTCTCTCTGGAGGCGACTGGCTACGCCCTGCTGGCTCTGATCAAGTGGGGACGAATGACGGAAGCTGCCGCACCCTTCAATTGGCTGAACAGCCAAAGAAGAAGAGGAGGAGGCTTCGGCTCCACTCAGGTACCGGCAGGGGAATTTTATCAGCTGAAAGGCATCGGGCATAATTTGCTCATTTTTATTATACTCACTCAATGATAATTAAAAGATGGTGGTCTCAGAGCTCTCAGTCTGGTTTGACAAATAGCATTAAGTAAATGGCAATGTAGTCATTCAGGAAAGATGAGAGAAACGTTATTTAAAATGTGTCAAATGAAACACACTTCAGTCTGCTTTCCCCCTCTGTCCTCTCATAGTCCACCATGGTGGTGCTCCAGGCGCTGTCAGAGTACCTGATACACAAACCCCCTCCTGATGACCTCAGTCTGGATGTAGACGTCAGGATCAGTGGACGCAAGGAAATCCGCCACCATTTTAATCCGACGACAGCCTATGCTGCTCGCTCTTCCAGGGTGAGACACCTTTACAGAATGTCAGTTCACACGTGTTAAAGAAACTCAGCACAGCGTACGGTTGACTTTTTATAACATTAAACAGTGAGTTTGGAGAACATTTTGACAAGTTCATGCAGTTTTTCTGCATGCATTTTCACCAACAGTCTTCTTCTCTGGTGTTTCTGTTCGCAGCTGCCTGCTAATCTTGATTTGGAAGTAGAGGCTCGAGGAAATGGACAGGGAATACTAGAGGTACTGTCACTTTTTTTTTTTTCATATACATACATGGAATCAATGTAGAATGACAGGAATGATTGTGTGAAATAACACTGGCTTCATTAGACTCTCAATTTGATGGCATTCTGAAACTTCAACACCTATCCATCCATTATCTATACACCACTTAATCCTCACTAGGGTCGTGGGGGGCTGGAGTCTATCCCATTTGACTTAAGGTGAAGGCAAGAGACACCTGGACAGGTCGCCAGTCTATCACAGGGCTACACTTAGAGACAGACAACCAAGCACACTGACATTCACTCCTACGGACAATTTAGAATCACCAATTAACCTCAACATGTTTTTGGACCTTGTGGGAGGAAGCCGGAGAACCCACGCTGCATCGAGAGAACATGCAAACTCCATGCAGAAAGATCCCGGGTGTCCTCACCAGAAAACGAACCAGCAACCTTCTTGCTGCGAGGCGATGGTGCTAACCACCAAGCTACCTTGCAGCCCGAAACTTCAACAATCCATTCTATATGTATTTCAGAAAGATCTCTAAGGGCTTTGTTTGTGACTACAATGCCTATACAGTGCTGCCCATTTGTTATCATACCCTCAGTCCAGGATGGAATTTTGACTCTATCCGGCATATTCCAATCAGCGGGCTTCAAGATGAAGAAATGTTTATTCAGATGGAGCTTTATGATTTTGTTTCAGTGAAATTTTACCTTTGTCGGTACGAAAAGCCACCCCATCAATAAAAGTTATTTCCTTTAATCAGAGGGTAAACAGAGGATTAACTTATCATGATTAACCAGCTGAGCAGTTCAGTTTTTGAGTGACGACATGCTCTGCAACAATGCGATTCTCTTTGAGGTGTCCTAATTAATGTCAAACATTGTGTGAATAACTCAGTGAAGCAGATCTCAGGTGAGCAGGTAATCGACAAACACATTGCCTTCCACGTCCATTATCACGGTGTGATAATCTGCCACGCGTGACCGACGCTCGGCCCATGAGCCGTAACGATCGGCCAACCGTGACTTTACACGGGCAAAAGTTAGTCCTGGAATCAATTTCGGGGAATTTCAAAAACCGGGATTATGACATTATTTGTATTTATTTAATTGTATTGTTTTAGTTTTTATTCTTTTAATTATTACATTCAGCCTTTAAAAAGCCATTTTCAACTGGCCATTCAATGAATAGGTTGTAAGTCAAATGTCATTTGTTTATGGCGCCACGGCTCCCGGACAGCCTGCCCCCGCTGCTGGAAACAGTCCTGGAGGAAACACTGTAGGTTATACAGGAAATGATTCACTGATGACTTTGATATTTTATGATTTTAAACAGGATATTCTATAAAGCGGTAAGACATTAAGTGGGCAGCACTGTACCTGACTGTAATGTGTTTTTTTTTCTCTCTCTCTCTCTCTTGTCTGTGCCTCTTACACATGGCGTCCCTTCCTTTTACGTGAAATAGGTTGTGACCCATTACAACCAGCTGCATGAGGTGGATGAGAAAATGCCGTGCCAGCACTTTGAGCTCAACGTCACTATTGAAGAATCCAGCGGTAGATCACATTCTCGCACTGTCTCACATATTTTACATGACGCCTTACAGACGGGCGACAAGTTAAAGCAAAACATTGAAACTATTGGCATAAGTAAATGTAGTAAATTGCATTTATAAAAGGCTCACATACAAACCCTGAAAATACATATATTTTACATACATAACACAACACACACCGAGCACCTTCAGGGATGTTTCAAAACAAATGAATACATTATTAATAGCATACTGTAGCATAACTACATATAATATAGTGTTACATGCAGTCAACTATACGACATAATAGATCCAAGTGTACATGAAACAATGCTTTGTTCCTGTCCCGTACCAGAAAAGCCTCCAGCAGATGTAGAAAAGTCCTACCAGATCACCATCAAAGTCAGGTGAGTTGTTGTTATTCATGTACACGACTGTGCAGAATGTTAGACCATCAACAGTTTATTCATATCATTTACCTTGAAACAAAGGGCAAGACACAGGTTTTCAAAGGCCTTGGAGGTAGATAGTTCCAAACATGTTAACAGAGAACTTGCCCCAGTTTTTCTGTAGATTGTCTTCTGGCTCTATGATGCTGAGATCAGAGCTCTGTGGGAACGTACCATCTGTTAGTCCACTACTTGTGGCTGCAGGTAGTTCCTTACGGCTCCATTTTTCATTTGATGGATTTTTAAAAAAAATCATTTTGAAATGCTGATGCTGCCATGCTGGTCAGCTGGTGAGTGACTGTAGCTTATACTGATGTCCTCTTGGGTTCAGTATCCATTGTCAGTGCTGTTCTCTTTGTCTTTCTCAGGGCTCTAGGACCCAGAGATGTCAGGATGGTGATTCTTGATGTCAGTCTGCCCACCGGATTCACCCCAGAAAACTCCGACCTGGAGATGGTAATCACCTTCTAGTACTAGTGCTGAAAAATCTGAAAGCGTGCGTTAATGGAGTATTTAATTATCTTTAAAAATTACATTTTATATTTTTATTAGAAGTCTGTAGGAAGTTGACTTTATTATGATGATGGTCGCATGTTCAGGCCGGTGTTGCTAACTGATTCTGTGTATGTGTGTGTCCAGCTGTCCAACTCAGTGGATCGTTACATCAGTAACTTCCAGATTGTAGACAACCTGAGTGACAGAGGCTCCCTGATCATCCACCTGTTCAAGGTAACATCACTGTACACCACAGTCTGATTTATCCGAATGCAGCCAAACGGTGCTGCTATTGTACACTGTTGCCCATAAAGTTGGAATAACAGATTTTTTTTTAACCTCTTCTCATAAAATGATTGTGAGAATGTGATTTATTCTTGACAGATAAAATGCATATCTTCTCAAAACTTTATTGATTTAACAATATACATACAATAGCTATCACAGTAAAAATTAAACCACAGTTAACTTTTACAAACTGTGTATTCAGGCTTAAACTAAACTGGAGGTACTGAACAATAGGATGAAGGGTTTTGTTTCAAATTTTCAACCTTGGTCATTTAACAGGAAGCACATATTTGAGGGGATTTCATGCATTAGAATATATATTACTCTTTAAATGTCAGTCAGGCACTAATATTGAGTCTGGCCACCCCTGACACGGATCAATGCGTTAAGACATCATGACATACTGTCCACCAGCTTGTTGATGGTGTCAGCGGGCAGGACGTCCCACTCTTCAGTCAGATCCCAAAGTCAGAATTGGTTTCTCCTGGTAACTGGAACTCAGTATGTGATCACTGCACCCGGTCAGAAGTGATTACTGATGAATAGAAATAAAAATATAAAGAGGAATGTGTCTGAAAGCCAAAAATTATTCCAACTTTGTGGGCGACAGTGTATGTTGTACGTTATCATTATTGTAGATTATCTGTGTGCTTTTTCCAAGAAGCAGATTTCTAAATAATCTTCTGATGAGTAAATACACTTTTTGAAATAGTCAACAATCTGATAAAGTTCCAGGCTGTTACACAAAACCAGCTTATTGGTACCAAACCCTACAATCAAGAGCTAAGACTTTCTAAATCAGTATTATTTAATGTTTCTGCCTCCGTGATCTGTTGGACTAAATCATCCCGCCCTCTCCTCCTCTCAGGTTTCTCACAAAGAACCAGAGATCCTGATCTTCCGGCTTCAGCAGAACTTCAAAGTCGGCCTCCTCCAGCCGTCCTCGGTTACAGCCTATGAGTATTACAACCCAGGTGGGCAAACACAGCCAGAGTATCACCTGAAACAGATTACCCTTTAAAAGTTTAGACATAAAAATCTACTGATGCTAGTGTTTTATGGAACCCAACATGAGCTGTAGAGTACGGTCATTGTGGATCGACCTTCAGTCTGACATTCCTCTCTTAGTCCAGTTGAGATCCGTTGCAGACAATATTATTATATTGCATCAAAAAAAAATTGGTTACTCCCAGAACGTCTCAAACATCATTGAAAATCAAATATGACACAAAATGTGCAAATGTAGCCCTCACCACAAGCATTTCTCATGAGGATTGTGTGTTTCATTGTTATTGTAATTATGCAAACTTATTACAACTTTCAGTTTCATGTCCCTCCTCTCTGTGTTCGTCACAGACCACCGCTGCAGTCGTACCTACACTCCCAAAGAGAACAACGAGGAGCTCACTCAGATCTGCAGAGACAACGTGTGCCGCTGCACGCAGGGTAACCTGTACTTGTGTCTGCAGCAGCGTGTCGTGGATGTGTGTGTGTGTGTGTGTGTGTGTGTGTGGTGCAGCTTTTGCTTACTTTCCTATAATCTCCAGGTGACTGCTGCGTCTCCACAGCTGACGGTGAAAATTTCCCCAACAAAGAAAGAGAAACATTTGCCTGCAAGAGCTTACACCACGGTACGATGCACCGTCACACGCTCACAACGTGGACACACACAGCAGAACTGAGCTGAAAGTTGGCTAAAGGCAGCCTCATGTTTATTGGGTGATTACAATTTGAATGGTTTCAATTAGCTGCAAGGTGGTCGGTGGTTAGCATCGCTGCCTCACAGACCTGTAGGGTGTCCCCTGCCTTTGCTCTAAGTCAGCTGGGATAGACTCCAGCCCCCCGTGATCCCAGTGAGGATTGGATTGGATGGATGGTTTCAATTACGAGTGGTCAAAACTGCCCATACACCAGGGGTGTCCAATCCTGGACCTCGAGGGCCACAATCCAGCATGTTTTAGATGTTTCCCTCTTCCAGCACACCTGATTCAAATGATCAGCTTCTGCAGAGCTCGTCATCAAGCTCTGCAGAAGCCTGATAGCGATCCTGATCATTTGAATCCGATGTGTTGGAAGAAGGAAAACATGCAGGATTGTGGCCCTCGAGGACCTGGATTGGACACCCCTGCCCTGCACAGTTTCTATAGACAGTACACTCACTGGTCACTTTAGTGTTTACACCCGTCCAATCCAGAACAGCAGCTCTGCCATAAGTTGTACTTGTGCTAAAGTAATAAACTCCATTTTTTGAGTGTATATTAATTTTTAAACTTTTCTAAAGGAAAATAGGACATTATGCATTCTGTCACGAGCAGCACTTGAACAATAAAAGTTCAATTGTTTTGGTGTTAAATGAGCCCTACAGGGCATCAGTGGCTTTTTGGAAAGCTCGACCGCCTTTGCTTTTGCTATCATTGCATGTGATGGTAAAAATGTCATACAGGATTGCAACATTCTGATTATTATGTGTTGATTGATCACAGTAGCGTAAATGAGAGGATGACATTGGTACGCTACACAGAGAAAGTGTTCTCTTCAGTATTTCACAAAACAGCTGTGACAGGATGTTTACAAGTTGACAGTGGTCATAACAAGAATATTTATTGCAGTATTTATTATTGGTATAAGGTGACAGTATAGTATTAGTATAACCGTAATACAGAAATGTATAATATTATTGGCATTTAAAGGAATTTGAGTTCATCAGAATGTGATGCCCAAGGTTGTTGCTGTGCTTCAGTTTTCCAGGTGAAGGTTCTGAGTGTCAGCCAGAGTTACTACGACAAATATGAGATGGAGATAACGCAAGTGATCAAACTGGGTGAGTCCCAGTGACGACTCTCCTTTTCTCTCTCACATGCACATGGGCTCATGCTTCCTGCAGAGGCTCGTCACTGTATTCATTGTGTCACCTCTCGGTTTTTTCAGTCAAAGCCATGCAAGAATAACAAACTGTGCACTCTTTTCAGCCGCTGGTGACCCTGTTTATTAGTTCCTAGCTTGCACATTGTCAAAATTCACAACAAACAGGCCTCGCTAGCTCAACGGGTTAAGCGGGCGACCCATAAACAGCAGCCGTGGTTCAAGTCTGACCCACGGCCATTTGCTGCATGTCTTTCTCTCTTCTCCCTGCTTTCCTGTCTCCGTCTCCACTTACCTGCAATATAGGCAGGTGAAAAAAGCCCAAAAAATAACATTAAAAATTCACAACAAACAGCAGTACATTAGTACATTCTAACAAGGATTTTTAGAATCAGAAAATAACCAACAGTTTATTTTAAGGTTATGCTAATATATAATATGTTCAAGAAAAAGCACCTTATTTTTGCTCTTTAATTTCCTTCTTTATGGGAGAAACTGTCTTAAAACAACATCAGCAATCATGAGAGACGAATACTCAGGCCCATGACATTGTTTTCTGCTCATTAGAAACAGAATCCGATCAGCTTGGCCCAAAGTCACACTTGTTTCTTGGGGTTTGTTGTGGATTTATGCAAAAAAAGTTATGAAGGATCTCATATCTCTTTTGTTCCACTGTCCAGGTGTGGAAGCTGGAGTGGAGGTGGGTCAGAAGAGGATTTTCATGTCTCATGGAGGCTGCAGAGATGGACTCAGCCTGAAGCAGGGCTCCCAGTACCTCATCATCGGCCCCAAAGAGGACCAGTGGAACGTTGACGCTGACACCAACAGGTGAGGAGAACAAGACGAAGCTATACTGTCAAAGGAAACGGTGTTTCCATAGAAATGAGAGGGACATGTGGGTGGAAGTTCACCTGTGGTGTCAGAGACACTTTGATGTTCTCAGTACATGAGTGGTTAAAAAAACCATACTTGCAGAAAAGTGGCTGCTCCTGAAGTCTTGAACACCTTTAAATCACACGCTAATGAATTGAATTTAAAATGTACTAGTCCTCAAATCCACAGTAACTAATAAGTATTTATAGCCTGAATCTCGTACAAGGTAAATCAATGAACTGCCAACTGGAAATGCAGCCATGTTTTGTTTGTTACTGTGTTACAAACTGGGATTTGTTTTAAGAAAAATAAAAAAAACAGCATGCTAAATAAACTCTAACTAAACTCTAAAGGACCAGTGTGTAGGATTTAGGGGCATCTACTGATAGTAATGGAACAAATTATCCATAAATATGTTTTCATTAATATATAATCATCTTTTCATTAAAGCTTAGA